CTTCAAATACTAGACGGAAAACTTTACTTACATATAATATTATCCGTTTGGGGACTCATTGGTGTGCAGTGGTGTTTTTTTTTTTCCTTTTTTTTTTAATAAATATTGAAGATTAGTACGGTCATGTTGTCTATATGTCTTTCCAAGAGATTCTTCTTTTAGGAAGTAGCTACATTGATCTAAAGAGTCTATCTTCAAAGTCCGCTATCAGATGAAGCTGGTCAGGTCAAATGGCCAGCCCATCTAATAACCAGGCCGGCCCAATGGGCTTAACACTCTTAGTCGATAATAGTTACTCAAAGAGATAATTAGAGCTTGTTTGGTTCAACAATTTGAATTGTTGATTTAATTTGAGTTGTGGTGATTTGAATTATAGTGCATCAAATTGTTATTCAAATCAGTATTTAGATATGTAAATAAATTATAATTTAAATTGAGAATAAAATCTAAACTGTGTTGGGATAAAATGTTAAAAACTGTCGTTAGAGTTTTGTAACAAATCTTATAAAATATCGTTGTAAATAATATCTAAAAATATGCAATATGGATGGAGATTTGTTCCTCTCTTTATTATGAACACATTAAAAAAAATCATCTCAATTAGAATTAAAACGAAGAAGTTATGACATTTTTAAATTTGAAATTGAAGAGAAAGAAAAAGTATAATCATAATTGTTTTCATTATAGAAAACAACTAGGGCCCGTTTAGTTCGCTGAACTGCAATTTAAATCCTAAACAACAATTAGAATAGTTTAAACAAACAGGGACTAGGTTAAGGGAAAACACATAAATACCACTTAAATGATGTCATATTTATATTTATACCGTCGGCCATAAACTTAATATCCATACCACTCAATTCATTAAAAAGAATAATCCATTAAAGCTCAGTGACTTAAATGTACGACTCTTGGATTTTGATAGGATGCTATATCCTACATTTTGACTTTTGGATTCATTTTTCCTTACATTTATCTCACTTTTGGTATCTTGTTTTTTATAAAACAATTAACCAAAATATCTATTTTAAAAATAAAGAATTATAGTAAATAGCATTCTTACAAAACTAAAATAAGTAAATAAGGTACCTATACTTATGGGTTTGCTTAGTGCCTATGTTCCTGCCTTTGTTCTTGGTGTTTCATTGAATACAACCTATTCTTTGCGACTGCTCTGCAGGCTTAACTTCTTCAGCTGGCTTGCCTAACAAAAGTGAAAAAGAAAGGATAGAAGAAAATGTTAGGGACTAACCAATCGCAAGAACTCCCGAGATTGAGAGCATTCATGCAGCTACTATAGTAACAGCTACTCCTCTTTATTTGAATACCCACCTATGGCTTTGATTGTTTTTATAAAACAATTAACCAAATATCTATTTTAAAATTAAAAAATTTATAATAATAGCGTTTTTACGAAATTAAAATAAATAAATAGTAGGTTTTAAAAGTCTTTAATAGGTAAATATTTACTAAGATTTTAAAATAAGAATGAAAATGTTACTAAGGGTTGTTTTGCAGATTTATGTACAATCACAATTTGCGGACATTATTTTTTCATCCATAATCATATATGTAATTACCTCTAACAATTATGTTTGTTTCACAATTTAAATTAAAAATTTGAGTTATATATCTAAAAAAAAAATACTGTAATAAAAGAATTTAATTTAAATTTAAAAAAATACTGTAATAATAATAGAATTTGAGTGAGTGAAAATAGCTAAAGCATTTGTGTCTAAAAATGTCTACTTATAAGGCCAAGGCCATGTCCAGGTTTACCAGGCTTCAGTTGTCCTTGATCCCATCGCCCTGGCCCATATTGGTCTGCCAGTACGGGCCCATTCTACGTTATAACGCCAACAAGCACACGCCAAAAAAAAAAAGAAATTACTGTCTTCCCTTCCATTACCTTTCCAAAGTGATACTCTCTTCATTTGCAGCGCCAAATTTATCGTCCTCCTGGTTGTGAAGCTGATCCGTTTAGCCTCTTTACATCATTTCCCAAGGTTTGGTTTTCATATTTTCATCTATTTCTTTTTGTTAATTAATCTTTTTGTATCATAACTTTTGGTTTTTTAATCTTGCATGTATAGATTTATGATTTATTGATTAAGGATTTCGTGCCCAATGTGTTTTGGTCACATTGACGAAAAGTTTTATCGTGCGTTTCTGGTGTGAAGATTAATTCTATCGTGTGTATATATATATATATATATAGGTTTCTTTCGTCGAGATCCGATTTCAATTTCTGTTTGATTCAGAAATTCAGTTACTTGGGGCTAATTGAGATCTGGAATTTGTTAATCGGATAACCAGGAAACAGGAAATCTAGAGCTCTGTTCCTGATTTTAATTTAAATTTCGCGAACTTTCCCGGCAACCAAACGGAAGATTTGCGCGAAACCTGAAAAAAAACCCTAATTTTGGCGGATTATTTCATTTCCTTTTCTCAGGAACGCAGTAGAAAAATGCCGGCTCAAGAGATCGAGATTAATCACCAAGACTTAGTCCACGATGCGGTTATGGATTACTTCGGCGATCGCCTCGCCACAGCCTCGTCCGACCACACCATTAACGTGATTAGGGTTAAGAAGAACTCGAAATCCGAGCATGTCGCCACATTGCGTGGTCACATCGGACCCGTTTGGCAGCTGGATTGGGCGCATCCGAAATTCGGGTCTTTGCTCGCTTCGTGTTCTTACGATGGGAAAGTCATAATCTGGGAAGAAGCCACCAAGGACCAGTGGATCCAAGCCCATGTTTTTGATGATCACAAATCGTCTGTTAACTCAATTGCCTGGGCTCCTCATGAGCTCGGTCTTTGCTTGGCCTGCGGTTCGTCTGATGGGAATATCTCGGTTTTCATCGCAAGGTCAGACGGCAGTGGTTGGGACACGTCCAGGATTGAACGAGCTCACCCACTTGGAGTCACTTCCGTTTCATGGGCTACGCCCAAACCCTCTGCTCTTTCTGATGCCAAGGACACGGTTTGGAGGCTTTGCTCTGGTGGATTTGATAACAATGTCAAGGTATGGAAGCTTGACAATGGGGTTTGGAAGATGGATTCCTTGAAAGCTCTTCAAATGCATAATGGCTGGATCAGGGATGTTGCTTGGGCTCCCAACTTGGGGTCGCTTAAATCGATGATTGCCAGTGCGTCGGAGGATGGGAAAGTTGTTGTTTGGAGCTTGCCAAAAGGAGGGAGTGGCCAATGGGAAGGCAAGGTTTTGGGCGATTTCAAGACGAGTGTTTGGAAGGTCTCGTGGTCGCTGACCGGAGATGTGTTAGCTGTGGCTGATGGAAACAAGAAAGTAACTCTCTTGAAGGAAGCTGCATCTGGTGAGTGGCAACAGGTTCAAGCAATTGAGCAATAGGATTCTTGTTGCGGAATAGTTTGCTCTCTGCAGATTTTATCTCAATCTCGTCTTGGCATATATTAGGAATTGGTGTTCAGAGCGTTAAAAGCTGAATACTTTTTCTTTGATATTATTTCTTGAATGTTTCTTACTTTTGCTCCAGTATAAAAAAGAAACTGTGTTCGTTGGAAACAAATATGACCCGTGCTGTCAATTTACTTGTAACTTCTTAAAATCCATGACATCGTTTGAGATTTTTTCTTTTGCTTAATTTTGCCATATATATTCTTAGCGTAGTGTTGATAACCCGATATTAAGTTTGGATTATTTTTTTCTTGTTTATGCTATGACAAATCAATGTCTAATATGATATTATATTCCTAACAGCATCTGTAGAAATGACCTCGAATTATGTTGACCGTTTGGACTCTACAGTTTTTTTTTTTTTTTTTGCCCGATTTTCTTTCATAGCATTCAGCACCATGGTTGATCACTGTGTGTGAATAGCGGGGATTCAACCCCTTGAGAATGTATAGAAGCGCGCTTTTTTCATGCTTGGTAATTCATTATCATTATCAGTTGCAAAGGGGAAGACATATCATTATCATTCGTTTCTGATAGTTGCAGGGGATAAAAAAATCAATGTAATTGGACTATGATCAACCTAGTACACATCGTTCGGATGTTCTGGTTTTTTTCTCTCCCGGTTGTCATTTCACACCAACTTGTCTAGAATAATTTGTCAACACTAAAGTTAAAATTCCTCCTCTTTTTATCAAGGTCTTTATGAGATGGATTGAAGTAACCTTTTCTTTATTCCCTGACTGCAAACATACCTTCTGTTCTGCGTTGCTTTTTTTTTTTTTTTAATTATTAGTTACTGTTTGTTTTGTGGCTGCAGAATATGTAAATTCATACTTTGCTTATTTCGCACGTCAACTGTCCGGGGCTTTAGAGTATTCTTGGTAGTTATGTGAAAATAACATGTTGCGAGCATGGTCTTACTTCATGTTTCAATCTGGCCATTGAATATTTCATGACTGGAATGTGTGTTATTTCACCTGAATATGAATTTAAATGGTGAGAAAATTAGAGAATCTGTCTTTCTTGACACTTCTTAAGTTTTGTCCTTAATTTGATATATAATAAGAGAAACTGATGGCAAAAATCTTAGCAGTGTTTAGAAACAGAAAAAACCTTGCGCCTTTCTAGTCTTTGGCATTGGTCTAGATTTCCCTTATATTATTCACGTTCTAAGTTGTGTTTAGCTTATTACTTTTCTTACTGTCTAATCCTCCAGGACATGTAAAATATTCCATCTTCATCCAAGAATTGTGAACTTCTGTTCTCTTTCCAGTAATTATTTTTCATTTTTTATTTTTATATTTTTGTTAAAGCAAGTATGCTTATGAAAATTTTGTCATTAAAAAGTAGACATATGATATTGAATGGGAAATTTCTGCTCTCTCTCTCTCTCTCTACATCTGTTTTTTTTTTTTTTTTTGGTTTCTTTTTTCGGTTGAAAACATTATATTAAAAAAATCTTAAAAGGCAATTGCTTTAGATTTTATCCACCCCAATCTAAACACATATGAAATTGTAATTTTTTTTTTCTATGAAGCAGTGCGAAATTATAATCGAGAAATGTAAAATAAACCAACTTTCAAAAAAAGAAAAGAAATGCAAAATAAACATTTGGTACGCCGTTTTCTTTGTGTGAGCCATTGGCACTGAACATTTTTGCTAGAAGTTCAAAACGAAACGCCTTTGGTTTTTCTCCTCCACTAAGGCATACTATCTTAAAAGGAACCGTATTTTGGCAATTTCAACACTCCATAATTGAGGCCCTCTTCCCTTCCATTGCAAAATAAGCCAACACTTGAACGACTCGTATGCCATAACAACACTTGAATGACTCGTAAGCCAACACTGCCGTATTTTGGATTCACGGTTTGTGTAAAAAATGCATGTATGCTATAGTTGTTGAATTAGGGCATTCTTTATTTATATTGGAAGTGTTTGATTTCAAATTGAGTGTTTTAATTGTTCACCTTGCATTTAGACCCCCTCTTGAAGGAAAGACATGTTCTGTTTGATAATGATTTCTTCTGTAACAAGCACAGATTAATTGACTAAAAAGTGATCATATGGTCTTTGAGATCACTCTTGCTTTATGCATATTGTGATAATTGGAAAGGTTCAGCCATGCTTACATTTGGGTAGAAGATGCAAAGTATTTTCGGCCAGAAAGATGGCTCAATAATAAAGTTTTTAAACTACAGTCCCAGCCATACAAATCCAATATCACCACAGCCCATTAGAGTCCACCAAGCCTTTCACCCAAGTAACTCGAGTAACCCGAGGTCACCCGACAGGTTATGGGTTTGTAGGCTTATGAGGGTGTTGTAGCCTAAAGTTTTCTTAACCCGCACAGTGCGGCTCAGCCAAATTTTTCAGCCCAACCCGAGCCAACCTGGCCGAATTACACCCCTAACTATGAGTTATTAGTCTTTATATTTATTATGCCGCAATTTTGTTGCGTAATTATTTACTACAATAGTATTTGCATATATCATTTATTGCTCATTTACTACAATAGTATTTTATCATTTATTTGCATATAAGAGTCTCTTAGATTAAAATTGATGAAGTTATAGATTAAAATTGATTTTCACTAACCCGAGTAACCCGACCCAACCTGATGTCACCCGAAAGGTTGCGGGTTTGTAGACTTAAGAGAGTGTCGCGGCCTAAAATTTTTTCAACTCGCACTGGTCAGGTAGGCTCAATTTTTCGGCTCAACCCTACCCTACCCGGCCGATTTACACCCCTATGATTGAGGCCATGCATCAATCAAGCCTTAAGGTGAGAGGCACGTGAGATCCGTGACATGCACGTGACATGCATGCACGTGCTACCATGTTAGTGTTAGAAATGCCTAGGCATACTGCACGTGTGGAGGAACCATCAAAGGAAAGTGAGTCCATAAAAAGTCCTCTATTAGATTCCTGCCACGTGGACTTAACCAGCCAACCATGGCCCTCGGCTGGCCTTTTGAAACCCTCACATGTTTGCTGACACCACCTCCACCATGTCACGTGCCAATAGGACCCACACCATCCCTTAATACAGCAATTATTATATAGTACTAAAGAAAATATTAATATAAACCTGGATTTAATAAACTAATAAGGGATTTACTTGGGTTTTACAAAGTATAAAAATTTAATCACAAGTAAAATAAAATTTATATGGTTGACAAAATTTGTTGGTAATAAATGTAAGTTGTAACCGTAAACCTTATCCTAATTACCAGAGTAATTTTTGGGGATTAGTATCCATGGAATCACTTCCCCCCATCTGACTCGGTCTTGTAAGAAAGCTACATTCTTTTTTGCACCATGGAATCATCCTTGTGGCTTACTACTCATTTTCAAGTTTCAACCAATCTTAAACTTAATTAAGACACTTAAACTGTTACTAATAATAGCAGCAGCAATAGTAATAATAATTTAGACACATCAAACGTTTGGATAGTAATTTTCCTAAAATTGGACTCCTTAAATCTAGGAGAGTGTTTAACAAAAAAGAAAGAGGAACAAGCTTCAATATGACACTTGCTTAATTAAGAGATAAATGCCTTTCTTTAACCAAAAAATTGAATTTCAGTTACAATAGAAATACGCTATATAGTGTCAAATATTATACATATATTACCATCACTATTGATGGGTTAAGGAAGAGTTAGAAAGAGAGTGAGAAGGTCTTTAGAGAGTAGAGGTTGGCTGGAGCTCTGGCACCGCCTCTCGGTGCGTTGCCAGACTCCCGACCGTGAAATTTGGTTCTCTGACTCGTCTCGTTGTGGACTTCTCTTTGGTGGTGGTGGTTTACGGTTTGATGGCTTCGCTTGGACAGATTTGAATCAGTTAAGAGCTTGAAAGCCGAATGGACGATCACCTTTCTCAGGGGAGTTTTCCGCTTGGTGGCTGAGATCTATTCGCTGGTTGTCTTTCTCGAAGGTCCTTTGGCCGAATGCCTTTCATCGGAGGTTTCTAACGGCGGTGGTCGGAGGTTTTTATCTTTTTTTTTTAACTTTTGTGTTTGTAATAAGGTTGGTGGTTTCCCCACTCGACCCGTTTGTTGTTTTTTGTTAGATTTAGGTGTTCAGCTTAATGCCGATAGTAGTGCTGTAAGTATAGGTTGCCAGGCCTGTCCGAGGCCTGAATTTTTCAAGCTCGGCGGGCAGGGACCCATGGCTGCCCATCTAAGCACTAGGACGGGCTCGGACTGCCCGAGAAACAGCCACACGATGGAAGCCCACTGCCGATTTACCTCTCCTGACCGTCGACTGCCGTTTTTTTTTTCATCCTGCCCGAATTTAAGCCCGAATGGCCGAAGCCCGTGTAACGGCTAGTTTTTCAAAAGTTACACCCGACTCAGCACTCTGCCCGAAAGCCCGACCACCAACGACTCTTTTTTTTACCTTTGCCTGATTTTCGGTCGAACCTGACCCACCGAGACCAAAAATAACCGTTGGATCTGAATTTGGGGGAAAAAATCAATTTTTTAACCCAAAAATTTCTTTATAAATACCCCTTATCCCCCAAACATTTTCTCACCCAAACTCTCTCAATCTCTCTCGATTTCTCTCAATCTCTCTCACAATTTTTCCAAAAACTATCACAATATCCTAAAGCACTCTTTTTTAAATCGCTCTTATTTTTTATAATGGATTCTTTTAGTCATGGACCTATGGTGGTATTCCTGTTGATGCCTAATAGAACGTGGAAGAAGGGTAATTTTCTAATTTTAACACAAAATAACTTAATAATTATTTATATACAAATATAATTAATAAATAATAGTATATTATATATAATATATATACAATATTATAAAAATTAAAAAATATAATAAAATAATATTTTTTTTCAGGCACTTCGGGTGGGCTCAGGCTGCCTGACCGGGCTCGGGCAACCAAAACCAAGCCCATGGCCTGTCCATATAATATATATACAATATTATAAAAATTAAAAAATATAATAAAATAATATTTTTTTTCAGGCACTTCGGGTGGGCTCAGGCTGCCTGACCGGGCTCGGGCAACCAAAACCAAGCCCATGGCCTGTCCATGAGCCTTCTCAGGCTCGAGCGGGCGGGTTCAGGTGTCGGGCTCAACTTCGGTTTTTTTAGGTGGTCGCGGGCAACCCGTCCAAAGTTACACCGTGTAGATGTCCCCTCTCTGTGGGTTTTGACAATCTGCTC